CCTTTAAGGGTTGGTATCATAATGTATATTAAGGATTTTAAGTTTTTGATTGCTCTGACTAGTCAGCTCTGGGATTTTGAACAAGTGGCTTCACCTTTCTGTAATTTGTAGTACATGGTGGGTTTAAAAACAGAATCGTGAGCCTGCCTTGTTACCTAGTAGTTAAGGGAGCTGGATCCCACATTCCTGATTCTGGCTAGAATATTGGCCCTGGCAGCTTGAGAAAGAACACTAGGTGTGTGCATGTGCTCCTAAGCCCCAAATCCTGCTTTTTTATTTCAAGTATTTATTTAATATAATGCCTTCTATGTCCCAGGCAGTTCAAGTTCACTAAGTCCTTGGATGGTACATATAGCTCCCATTTTACAGATTAGAAGATTGGGCCTCTAAAACTTTTTTTTTTCCTTCTAAATTATTAGTCCAAAATTGGAATAGATAATTGGTTGCTAAAGATAAGCCAGAGTTGAGACTTGGAACCAGATGTCTCTTAAACACTAACCCCTAACACGTAACACTATTATCAGTTGTATTTAACTTTGGATTTAGTGATTTCCCTCAAGGTGTTCTTATGTAACATTTAATGTCTTTAAGAAATAGACCCTTTTCCCTAACATATTGCTTTGCATTGCAGCCCTAGGATGGTCCCAACCATGTGATGTTTGGAGTATAGGCTGTATTCTCATTGAATACTATCTTGGGTTTACAGTATTTCCAGTAAGTAACAACTGTTTCAGTGACTTTGTAACATAAAAGTACCTATTTATATGAAAGAATAAAGAATACTTAGACTCTCAAAGTAGACATATATTGATAATGGCATTTATTTAATATATATATATATATATATATATACACACACACACACACATATATATATGTACATGCACACATACACACATTTTTTATATATTAAATATATACATAATTATACATATTAAAATATATTTATTAATTGTAAATAAGCTTAAGATGTAGTTATAATTTCTATTTTCTCCATATTTTACCCTTTCATTGAAAATATAAGCAGTTATTTCTGGCTATGGAAATCATGTGCAGGCTTGTTCTACAAGTCTTAGTTTTGACATTATTTGTAACTTCCTAAAAAGTATGCCTTTTTTGGTGATCACCTTTCTTGTGACTTCTGATCTATCTGTGAACTTGAAAATCGGCAAATCGGCAATGAGGTTAAATGAGAACAAAGTACAATGTCTAAGAAAAGATAGTTAACCAAGTTATTTTTTCATTATTTTATTTTAGACACATGATAGTAAAGAACACTTAGCAATGATGGAAAGGATTCTTGGACCTCTTCCAAAACACATGATACAGAAAACCAGGTATGTTTTATTTAAGTTAGTATCATCTGTAGTACTGCTTGATCACATGTTCTCATTAAACCTTTTTTTTTGGGGGGGGGGAGAGGTTTTTGCTATAGGCTGGGTACGCTCCCCAGGCAGAGAGAGACAGAGACAGAAAGCGAGAAATCACCCCCCAGGACAGATGGCCACACCACAGTCCCTTCTCCGTTCTCTTGGGATCTTGGGCATGCACGCACACGCACCTGGCGTGTTTTAAGCCACCGGATCCGGAACACCAACCACGGTTGACTACATGGGAGTCCAGTGACATAGCCACTACGCTAACTGCTAGTGTTCTCACTAAACCTTTAATCTTGATTCAAGTAGTGGGGCTAGCCAGTGGCATGGTGGTTAAGGTGCTAGATTCCCATGTGGCTGAGATTCAGGTCCCAGACCCAGTGGCTTTAGAAATCATACCAGTCAGGGCTGGCAGGTGGCGTGGTTGGTGAGGGCATTGGATTCCAACATGGCCAACCAAAGTCTGATTCCCAGACCTGGCTGCTTTCTCACTTTCCCTCCTTCTCTCACTCGCTCTGTCCCTTTCTGGTCAACTTTTTTTTTTAAAGTAAAGTTAAATGAAATAATTGTTTGAAAAAAGAAAAATCACACCAGACATGTGTGCCCAAAATCCCAAGAGAACAGAGAAGGGATTGTATTGTGGCCTGGCCATTCCACCTCCAGGAGGAAGGAGTGATTTCTCCCTTTTACCCCCCTCTCTTGTCTCCAGTAACTCCAGCAAACACACTTGCCTCATGGGGAAGAAAAAAAAAATACTTACAAATTTTTTTAAACTTTTTAATGTCAACATTATAAACATGGAATGAATTATTGATTTATCTTTAGGAAACGTAAATATTTCCATCATGATCGACTAGACTGGGATGAACACAGTTCTGCTGGCAGATATGTTTCAAGGCGCTGTAAACCTCTAAAGGTAAGCCTCAGACATTACATGATCAAAACCTTGAGCCTCACCTTGTTTTTATGGAGAAATAAAACACAGTACATAGTAGTAGAAAAAGCTGTACTGATAATTCTTGTTTACTTTCAGGAATTCATGCTTTCCCAGGATACTGAACACGAGCTTCTTTTTGACCTTATTCATAAAATGTTGGAATATGATCCAGCTAAAAGAATTACTCTCAGAGAAGCCTTGAAACATCCTTTCTTTTACCCACTAAAAAAAACATAGATATGTAAATGTACAGCTTTCTTAAAGAGAACTCATTGACTGTATCAGTCTAATTTTTAAATATTAAGTTATTTTGTACAGCTTTGTAAATTTCCTATTTTGTATTATTGCTGTTTGGATAATTTGATTTAAATGTATATAACTGAATAAGTAATTATCATTTTCTAATTAAAAAATGATATATTCAGAATAAACTTTGTGCTTAAGAAACAAACATGAATGTATTCATTTTGCCAGAAGGTTTGTACACTCAACAGAGGGAGAGCCAGAAAGTGCCCTTCTGTGGGGTGGGGTCATGCTGCAAACCTGTTGACACCCAGGATTGGATAAGGACTCATCACTTCTGGGCAGCGAAGGGGTTCTGGCTCCTTCCCAGGCCTCTGCTACCACTCTGGCTAGGAGATACAGAATTACCTCATTATTTTTATTCATGGCTGAATCTACTGACTGGATTGGAGTGGTCTCATCACTGGGGCAGGGGAGGGCTCTCCACTGGCATTGGGCACAGATAGTATTATTAACTTCAAACACAGCCTTTTGCCCTTCTCAGACATCCCTCCTTTTTTTTTCTCTACTGTGATTAGTTTCTGCAGATTTTTTTCTCTTTATTTTGGCTGTTTTGTTTATATTTGTTTATATTTCTAGATGACCATTGAAAACTGCCTTTAGCTGCATGGTAATATACCTAAAGTAACACTGACAGATATTTGCACGAGTTTTCTAGGGACAGAAGCAATAGGGTATGAAGAGATACTATAGGATGGGATTTATTGGGAGAATCAGCTCACTTGATAAACGTGACCAAGAAGTCCCACAGGCTGTCTGCAAGCTGGAGACCCAAGGGTGCTGGATGCGTGATTCAGTTCCAAGGCCTAGATCTGGCTGATCTATCAGGCTAAAAGCTTGAGAACCTGGGACTGCTGGCGTGAGTCCTGGAGTCCTAGGCCAAGGCCTTGAATGCTGATGTCCAAGGCAACAGAAGTCTATCCCCAACCCTCTCAAAGGAGACTCCATCTTCCATTGTGCCTGTCCAAGTGAAGGGTGGTTCTCCACATAGTCTATTTCAGACTCCCATGTCAATTTCTGGTAACACCTTCAGATAAACCTAGAATAATGCCTTATCAGATTTCTTAGTCCAATCAGCACTTAAAAACTTTATTTTTCATGTGATCCCCTCACCTCAACTGTCCAGGTAGAGAAACCAGCACCCGTGACAAGTCTGGCCATGATTACCTTCTCTGAGCTCTCTGGGTAGTATGTTGGGCACACAAGCCTGCTATAGTAGATGGACCTGGGATCCAGAACTGTCAGCCATATGGCTTTCAGAACTTTTCAGTATTTTTTGTCACCTGAAAGAAGTCCAAATGAAGTAGTTGGGACTGAAATGCTAAACATTTCTACCAGGAACTAAGGCTCCTTTTATAGGGGGGTAGGGGTGGGAGGAGGATCTTCAAGTTATGGGAGGTATGTATTATAAGAAAACTGCCATACTTTTCTGTTCTGCCATAAGGGCGTGTGTGCTCACTGGAGAGACACTGAAAGGGAAAGAAACACACATGTGCCTGGGCTTGATTTTCAAGCTGCCAGGTGGAGGATTTGCAGAGTGGTTAAACCATGTGGGAATCTAGTACCTTAACCACCGTGCCACCTGCTAGCCTCTAGATTTCAAATTTTTATCAAAGTCTAGTTTTTTCAATTACTAAAATTGCCAAAAGGAGCACTTGCTGAAAAGTGAAAAAGTACCCTTTTAGGGTTTTTTTTTTTTTTTGATCCCCAATATCAATATTTTAAACCTCTAGGCCTCAATAGGCTGGTAAATACAAATACTTCACATTCAGAGAGCTAATACTGAATATGAGAAAAATCATAGCAAGGCAATTTGCCAGAATCCTAACAGAATGATCAATCTATTTTACATGGCATCTATAAATGCATCTGAGAAAACAACTTGGCAAAATTTAGTCAAAGGAATAACACACACTAAAACTTTGCTATCTTTGTGACATTTAGAGCCAACCAATATTTTTATCAGCTCTCGCAAGCAGCCTACTCTGGACTCATCAGTTAAATTTCAATAGTATTGATTTTATAACCACATTAAAATAACCCTTTGTAAGTCAGAACTCAAATTTATAATCAAGTAAGAATCTATTAAGACCCCAAAAGTCAATGGGAAATGCCTTGCCTGACATCAGTACTGGCCTGAGGTATAAAGCACAACAGTTAAGTGTTGGCAAAAAAAAAACCCTCAATTTTCTAGTAATCCCAACAGAAAAATGAGTGCTTCATTCAATGGGTAAGTAGACATATCTACTAATGCAAATATTGTCACTAGGTCGTCTTTTATAAGAACCTTAATATGAATGGGCATCATCATATCCAAGGGGTTCCCAAAACCACCACATTCTTTTCATGTATAAAGCACAGATACAGTACATATACAGACTATATGTGGTATTAAATTTATTGGAGTGCTATACGGGAAAAAAAAGATTAAAAAGGCTTCTTGGGGTGGGGCATTGCTGATAATGGCACAAAGCTTGAGAAACACTGAATTAGAAGTTATTCTCTTGGTCACATGCATTTCCCCTCACCATCATCATGCTATGTCAAAATATCCTGTGGCATTTTTGGCATCTGGAAATTTTTAAAGAACAGAAGATCTCTAGGACAGCACTCCCAGAGTAGGATTAAGAAATTTATGATCAGCTCTAAACACACAATCAATAGTATCCAAAAGGAGACAACCTGAGAAGCAGACACCAAGTTAGGAAAATCAATTAACATTTATCCAATCAAAATTAAAAACACAATTTTAATATCTATATTCAGAATTACATATTTGAGGCCATAGGCTAAAACTGGCAGCTGAGTTCTAAAATTACCACTTGAAATTCAAAATGAAAATCTGCAGTCTTTTTTATAAAGCATTCCCTTTCTTCATACTATACTGTCACAGATGACTTATCCATTTACTGTAATATTATATTAGGTAAACACTGTTGTGTCATTATGAAGAAAAAAAAAAAACTATGATCAAAGATCATCATGTAGTTCCTGAAGACTACATACAATTTCACTATACACAGTATATAATAAAACAGGGTACACTTTGTACGGCAGTAACATGCAATGACCTGGTGGTAGAGATGTCAATGTAGTTTCAGCTACATCAGAATTCTGTGTAGATGTTTACAGTTTGAGAGTTGTAAAGATAGAAGTAATTATTATTAAATGCTTAAGCAGTAAAGACATCTGAATGGACAACATACAATATCTAGGTATTTGTATGGAACTTACAAAAAAAAAAAAGGCTGATCTATAAGACCTAAGTGTAAGGATGGATTTTATTTTAAAAAAAGTCTTTTGAGGACTACAAATTACAAAGTAAAAGCGGACTACTATGCAGAACTCTACTAAATACATTTTGCCTATGCATGAAAACTTTATTAAAGTTATTCATTTAAGAAATTCACCCCATTCACAATGGTACCAGTTATGCTCTTCTGTTATTTTACCTTTATTTCAAATTATTACACGTTATTCCGTCAAGATGAACTTTCTAATACCAAATTCTTGGCTCACAAGAATGGCACCTTCAAAAAAGGCAATTTTTACTCAGTCTCTGGTGGCACTATTCCAGGCTAGTTTCTTTCATCAATTAAAAAACATTAGAAATGTTCACTTTTAACAGTTTATCTACCCTTCCCCCCAAAAAAAATGGCTATACCCCTGATGACTACACAGATGGATAGCAGCAAGAAAAGATAAAAATTAAAAGGCAGTCATTAAAATAAGTGGATCAATCATAGAAAAAATATTTGGCTCATGGCAATTAAAAAATGGCAACTAGGGTATGTTAACAGACAGACGCTTGAGTCACTATTGAATATGTTAAGAAAACGAAGCTAGTCCAGTCTGACCAGGTGGGAATATATAATTATCACTGTACTTCATTCTTTCTGACAAATACTCTCAAATAGGAAATGTAAGTCATATTTAGATTCTTAATTAGAACATATTGACCCTTAACATCTTCAACCATTTACTGGGTTTAATACAGTCATTTCCTTTATATGAACTCCTTTATTAATCCTTTCCTATCAATCTAAGTATATTCTGAGCATAAATATTTTAAGTGACAAGACTTTTCTAAGGTATATTTAAGAACGGCTGAATGAAAAGAAACACATTTGTTCTGTCTGGAAAGATACAGACTGAAGTTTCTCGATGGGAAAAAGCTCAATTTTCTTCCCATTACCTTTGTCAAATATGATTTCTCAAACCTTTCAAGTTTGTTCTCCGGCTTCACTAAGGATAATAACCAGAGAGAAAATGATAGCACTTAAGGGCATCTTGGACTAAAAATGGGAGAAAATGTTAACATAAAACCCATGATCCAAATAATCAAAATTCATGTTAATGAATTCAATTAGTGTGTATGTGATTTTCATTGAGGACTTGGGCTCTGGGCATTCCAAATTATCACACAAATCATTGCCTTTTGAGACTTGGAGACTTTTACAGTTTAATTTGCAAACAGAATTTTTATAACAAATTATTTTTAACCAAATCATATCTTGAAAACTGTTCATATAGAAAACCCAGGGAATAAAGTGAACTCTGTTCATTGTGGAAGGCCTTACATTACATTATTACAGTAGAAAATACAGGAGGTAGAAGATAACTGAAACGACTAATGCAACATTAGATTCAAATTTATAGCTCCTGTAGCTACTTAAAACATGGTTTTAGAAACTAAATTCAATAACCATAGAAATAGTTAAAATAAAATTTGCCATGAAAGCCCTTATATCATGCTTGATATAGGGAGGTAGGAAGATGTAAGAACCAGGACACATGAGACATGACATTTTATCTACAACTCCTGTTTGCTTTACTGAGGGTGTAGTTTCAATATTCAGTCACCTTCTTCAGCTTCAGACTCAGATTCTAGAAAAGGTAAAAATATGTAGTCAAGCATTATGTATCAGAAGTAAGAAGTTCTCATTTATAACTCAAATTTGTAAAAATTATAATTAAGGAAATTTACTAACAACACCGTACTTAGATGAGGGAGATGATGTTCAAAATTATTCATAAACTAAAACTTCATAATTAAATGTTCTCTAAACTTTTGAGTTCCTTCTTTTGACTATTTAGTAGTACAAAAGCTAAGCCATTAAATGAATGCAGTAACTGGGCCAGCAGGTAGCGTGGTGGTTAAGGCAGCTGGATCCCACACAGCCAACTCTGCTCTTCAAGTCCTGAACCCTGCAGCTTGAAAAATATATAAGGTGTGTATACCCAAAAACCCATGAGGAGAGAGAATGGAAAAGGGATTGTGGTGTGGCATTCCCCGGAGGATTGCTCTTTTTCCACAGAGCACACATGCCCTACACACACACACACACACACACACACACACACACAAGTGTAACAATTTACAAGTCTAATTTTTCTGCCTTCAATCAAATGACTATTTGCAGATCTATCACATAAAAACCCTCTACTTTAGCTATAGTAAAATGGGGCATTAGGATGAAAGAGGGAAGCATAGGCAGACACATACAACTGCCATATTAATGTTAGTTTCCAAGCTTTACCAACGAGCCACACACACAAAAAATAAGACTCACCTTCTTCAGCATTTTTTAGCCACTCTACAAACTTTTTCATTTGCTCAAGGAAGACACTTTTCCCCTTTGCAACATGTGCATCTTTATACCACTTGAGAATAGGCTCTTCACTCAGGACTTCAGCTATGAAGAAAAGCAATCATTAGACTGAAGGAACTTTAACATTTCTCTACCTTAGGCAGAGGAGAACCACCTAATGCTCAAATGCCTACTTGACAAACAGGACCCACTGAAAAGTTAAGTAAAAATATTATTTATGTTCTTTGCAAGATAAATCTACTCAAAACATTAGTTTCAAAGAGTCAATTTCAAGAAAAATAGAAAAAACAGGACCTACACATAGAAACTTCTATTGACTTGTTGCCAATGTACAAACATACAATAAGCTAAGAAACATTTTGAGTTAACTGGCCCAATGGCAGTAATGCTGAGGCAGAGAAAACCTATGTCAAATCATCAGGAATATCTGATAGAAAAAAAGTTTTTCAGGCCAGCAGGTGGCATACAGGTTAAGGTGGCTGGGTCCCACATGGCTGACTGCATGGTGCAGCTTGAAAAACACTGAGCACTCGTGTAGGCATGTGCCCAAAATCCCGGGAAAAACTAGAGAAGGGCAGTGAGGCCATTCCTCCAGGGGGATGTGATTTCTCACTTTCTCCCTCTGAGCACATGTGCCCTACAGCAAACAAAAAACAAAAAAGAAAACCTAACTCTAAGTTCGGAAGCCAGTCACAGTGAGGGGGGAAAAGTGAGAAATCATCCCTTTAGAAGGGACAGCCACACTACAATCCCTTCTTCTTCTGGGATTTTGGGCACATGTCCACTTAAGTGGTTGGTGTGGGGACCAGCAGTTAGCGTAATGGCTATGTCGCTGGACTCCCATGTAGTTGACCGTGGTACACGTCCCGGACCCGGTGGCTTAAACTCATGCTGGGCACATGTGCATGCATGCCCAAGATCCCGAGAGGAGAATGGAGAAGGGACTGCGGCATGACCATCCCCTCTGGGGGGTGATTCTCGCTTTCTCTCTGTCTGGTGAGCGCACGCGCCTTTATAGCAAAAACCTCTAAAAAATAAATAAAATAAGCGGTTGGTGTTTTTACCAAGCTGCACGGTGCAGTGTGCCATCTGGGATCTAGCTGCCTTAACCACTAATGCAACCTGTTGGCCCTCTATGTTTAGAATACAGGCACTAACAAGACTGACTCTAAAGCAGTGGTTCAGAGAGCGGGATCCCACATGGCCAAACATGGTTCAAATCCCAGCCCTGGTCACTTGAGAAAATACACTGGGTTCCTATGTATGCCTGACCAAAATCTTAACGTAGGGAAAAAGTGACAGGAAACGAACTACAGCATGATCACATCCCATTGGGAGTTGCTTTCTTTCTCTTTCTCTTTGACACAGGTACATGCCCTCTGGCAACGGGGGAAAAAAAAAGTCAGCAGGGGCCAGCAAGTGGTATAGTAGTTAAGTCACTGGGCTCCCACATGGCCAACCGTGGTTCCATTCCTGGACCCAAGAGCTTGAAAATCACGCCAAACACGTTTGCATACATTCCTAAGATCCCAGGAGGAGACTGGAGAAGGGATTGTGGTGTGGCTATTCCTCCTGGGGGGGTGATTTCTTGCTTTCCTTCTGTCTCCCTCTCTCTCAGGCAAGCGCATGCACCCTATGACAAAAACCTCAAAAATAAGGCATCAACAAAATCATTTATAAAAACTGGCAGAGGTGGGGGGGGGTGAGGGAGAGGTGGCAGGTGGCGTGGTAGCTAAGGGGGCTAGACTCCCACATGGCCAAACATGGTTTGAGTCCCGGACCTGGAAGCTTACTTTCTCATTTTCCTTCTCTCTCTCTTATTCTGTCCCTCTCTGGTCAAATTAAAATAAATAAAGTCAAATAATTCTTTGAAAACAAGCAAACAAAACAACCAGGGGTAGAACACATAATACACACCTACTGTACTCACTGGGATTAAGGCTGATCTGATTAATGAATAATTTTAAAACATGCCATTGTTAACCATACCAAGTTAAATAACTGGAATGGGTTCTCTCCCAACAGAGATCTTGCCATTACTACCCATTTTAGAACAGGTTTTTGAAATGAAGAATACAGAGAAAAGGGAATAGCTGAAACAGACTTTAAAAGAAGTATCTTGAACTGGACTTTTAGGATAAGTCAAAGTCAACACTAATCTGAGAACTAGCAGAACAATATTTAATGCTATACATTATGTGGTGTTTTCTGTTGATAAAAATATGGTATTATCCTTTGATTATTGCAAACTGACAGAAAATCTGCAGTATACTCTAGAAAGATGTACAAGTAAACGAAAATCATAAATTATAAAGTCAGCCCTATTGGGGAGGGTAAGGTGAAGGAAAGCAGGCTTCACACAGGCTGAAGATTACAGTGATAGAGTGTCTGGGAACTCATACCAGGTTCCTTTCCCATACCAGGGCGGAGTACAGAAGGCAAAGCTGGAAGCTGTATTTTTTTTTTTTTTTTTAGTGGTTTTTGTTATACCCCAAGAGATGGAAGTGGGGTATCACCCTCCCAGAAGGCATAGCTACACCCCAATCCTTTCTCCTCCATTTTCCTCCTGGGATTTTGGACACACTTGCATATGCACCAGGCATGAGTTTTAAGCTGCCAGATCCAGTTAATGTCTGCCACGTGGGAGTTCAGCGCCTTAACCATTACATCACCTGCTGGCCCCAGTCCACATGTTAAAAACTTCAGACTTTGGGACCAGCAGTTGGCGCAATGGCTATGTCTCTGGAATATCATGTAGTCAACCGTGGTTCGAACCCCGGACCTGGTGGCTTAAACTCACGCCGGGCATGTGTGCGTGTGTGCCCAAGATTCTGAGGAGAATGGAGAAGGGATTGCGGTGTGGCCATCTCCCTGGGGGGTTATTTCTCGCTTTCTGTCTGTCTCTCTCTGTCTTTCTGGCAAGTGCATGTGCCCTATTGCAAAAACCTCTCAAAAAAAAAATGTTCTGACACCAACATGCTAAAAAGCACCCAATTTAACCATAGACAAATCTGTCTTGGAACAAATGGTAAAATAGTTCAGAGAGCTCATGTTCAGATAATTATTCATTTTAATTACTTTGAATATTAAAGTTATTTTTATTAAGTGTATCCACAAATTTCAAAATTTAAATTACCTTTATAAAAAAGCACCACGATTTTCTGGAAGGCTTTCATGAAATGAATGTTGTCATAGCAATACTCCTGAATCTTCAGTAACAGAGTCAGCTCAGACTGACCTTGAGTAGTAAAGGCAGCAAGTAGAGGGCTGTATTGCTTTTAAAGGGAAAAAGATTTAGTCAGTCACTACTATGACCATCCATTTCAATATTCTTATGTAACAGACATAATTCATCTTTTATAATCACTGTGAACTATGACTTATGTACTAGAAACTAAAACACTAAACAGAATAGTAAAACAGAAAACTCTGCTACACATCTAAGTCTAATAAGTAACACAACAGTATTTCAGATATTAAACAATGTTAATATTTTAGAAGGAAAAAAAAATCCTATCTTCCAATATTCCCTTGAAAGCAAATACCAAATTATAAGGCTTAAGCTACTTTTTAAAAACTTTGCACTCACCAAGGAAAGAGAGAGAAAGCAAGAAAGCACCCTGTATGGGGCATGGGTCATGCTGCAATCCCCTCTCCTCCATCTCTCCCTCCTTTCAGGATCTGGGACATGCACAAACACCTGGAGTGTTTTGCAAGCTGCCAAGTCTAGGACTCAAATCATGTAGTCGGCCATGTGGGATCTAGCCATGTTAACCAGAAGACTGGCTGGCCTAGGTTTAAGCTATTTTTAAAAATTTACTATATATAAAGTGTGGGGATGCTAAAAGAAAGGAAGATGAGAGTACCCTGCTCTCCAGTCTTTTTACCTCCTTGGATCTTGGGCACACATGCACATGTACCTGGCATGTTTTTCAACCCATCAAGTCTAGGACTCAAAAAGCACATCCAGCCACCTGGGATCCAGCCGCCTCAATCACCACACTGCTGAATGGACTCTTAAGCTACTTTTATACATTTTTTTTGGAATGATTTTTTTTTTGCTATAGGGTGTGTGTGCTCACTAAAGAGGCAGGGACAGACAGACAGAAAGTGAGAAATCACCCCTGGAGGGGATGGACATGACACAATCCCTTTTCCATTTTCTTCTCAGGATTTTGGGCATGCACGCACACATGCCTGGCTGCATTATAAGCCACACGGTCAACTATGTGGGAGTCCAGTGATGTAACCATTACACCATCTGCTGGTCCCAAATTTGTTTAAGGTTTTTGTCATCAGGTATATACATTCACCAGAGATAGAAAATGAGAGGGAAAGTGATAAATCATCTCTCAGAGAGGATGGTCATGCTACAATCCCTTCTCCATTCTTCTCCTGGGATTTTGGGCATACCTGCAGATGGGCCCAGCATGAGTTTCAAATTGCCAGGTCCAGGACTCACAGTAATCGGCCATGTAGGAGTCTAGTGCCTTAACCACTACATCACTGAAGGCCTGAATATAAACCTTGATGTTAAACTGTAAATCTAAGAAAGCCCATGCCAAACTTTAAAACTGTTATCATACTAACTATAAATAGTTTATATGTTATTTGTCTACTTACTGATGGTTCACCCCCAGGAACCACAGGATGTGATAAATCCTATTAGAAAAGTACAGTGACAGTTCTCTTATCCCCACTTAAAAGCAGAATAGTTTGTTTTGTCAAGGTTCAGTTCTAATACCTTCAAGTGCTTGATGGCTTGCTCGGCTACAAGCTCCTCTTTTTTGTTCCATTCCACAGTGCTCATTACGCTTGACCAGACTATACCAATGACAACCGGTTCTGGAATGTTGTTTTTTTTCATTTCCTCTTTGACATATAAAATTATCTGCAAAAGAATCCAAATTTAGTAACAGAAATCAGTCTCAATATGTATATACTTCACAAATCAAATTTAGGCCTTATGTAAAAAGCGCAAACACCATTCTGTACCGTTGGCAATAACTACATGTGTATCACATACAATCAGGGAACCTTTAGAACAGGTGGGGATGAAGTCCTATCTAACCTCTATTTTTCACACAAACTAGTCAGAAAGGGAGAAACATGGAAATAATCAGATCCTTGCACTGAGTTGGCCTGTACAAAATCCTTGAGTGTTTTCACTTCTGGGCATCAAAAAAGCACCAATTGGGGACCAGCAGCTGGTGTAATGGCTATGTCTCTGAACTCCCATGTAGTTGACTGCGGTTCAAGTCCTGGACCTGGTGGCTTAAACTCAGGCCAGGCGCATGTGCGTGTGTGTCCAAGATCCCGAGAGGAGAATAGAGAAGGTATTGTGGCATGGCCATCTCCCCTGGGGGGTGATTTCTCGCTTTCTGTTTCTCTATCTTTCTGGTGTGTGCACATGCCCTATATCAAAAAAAAACCAAACACAAAAACAAACAAAAACTCTAAAAAATAAAGCACGGACTAAGCCTATGAAAAAAAAAACAAAGGTGAAGTCACAGTATAACCTATTAATCCAGACTCACTCTGGTGAAAAACGAGGGCTGGCAGGTAGTGTGGTGGTTAAGGGCGCTGGACCCCCTCATGGCTGAGTTCAAGTTCAAGTTTGCGGTTTGAGTCCAGGACCTGGCAGCTTGCTTTCTCACTTTCTTTCTCCTCCCCCCATCAAATAAAAATAAATATATAAAGTTAAATATTAAAAAATAAAGCTTCTCAAATGAGTAAACATTTCTATGCCAGAAGCTTAGAGATAAAAAGATGGTATAAAAAGAAACAGCTTACATCCTTAAATGGATCACCACGGGACATCTGTTCTTGAAGTTCTTTCTGAAGCTCCTTACGAGCTCCAATGGTTTGCTGATTCCGAACATACTCCGAAAGCTCTTTCAAGCCTGCCTCAGTAAAATACTTTGTGAAGTGTTCAACGCTTTGCTTATTAGCAGGAAAAAGCTCCTAAAAGGAGAATCTAATCTGGTTAAATGGTCTTAAAATCAGATTAAGAAAAACATTTCTTCAGATTTAAAAAGGGAATTTCTCTCATTACATTCGCCTTAAGAGTTGGCTGAAATGGAAAGAAAATGTTACAAACCATCAGTCTGTTATCCATGCTGACTTTCCGAAGACTTGCAGCTACTGCATTGATATCTTTTTCATTTATCCATGATTTAAAGAGCTTTACAGCAAAAGCTGCTGAAACCCCTGTAAACAAAAGAGCTGACTTAACAAATGTCTCTTCCTGGATTTCAACCCTTGTCTCTCCCTTACCTTCCCCACATAGTTCAACCACACAGAATTATGTGCTTTCACCACTTAACCCTGAGCTTTCCTCTGCCAATGTTTACCATTTCATTCCAATTTCTCTATTCTGTAAGTATTCTGGGCCAACCATACATAACAATTCAATCACTGAAACCACAATTCGAAAATGACTTTCCTTCCCAGCTTGACATTATCCCCAATAAAGATGTCCCTAAGACTTCCAATTAGCATTTTTAAAAATAATTATTTAATTTTATTTATTCATTCATTTTTTTTTGACCAGAATGAGAGAGAGAGAGAGAGAGAGAGAGAGAGAAAAGTAAAAGTGAGAAAGCAAGCCACCAGGTCTGAGACTCAAACCATGGTCGGCCATGTGGGAGGGAGTCCAGTGCCTTTATCCACCACACCACCTGCCGGCCCCTCCAATTGGCATTAATCTCTTTCTGGGTTCCCATAGAATTCTTCTATAAAATTTTCATTATGTATGATCACATTCTGTATAAACTCTGGGTATGTGCCATATGTCTAAGAAAGCCATTAAGACCAAATGCCAAAGAAACGCATTAAATGTCTACTGAGTTGGAATGATAACTAAGACTATACAAGTCACATCTATGAATAGTGAACCAGGCCTTAACTTTTCCTTTTCGCCACAAGTGTTGGACAGAGAGGGGGGTGGGGGGGAAGAGAGTGAGAAATCATCCCTCAGGGGGATGCCCACACTGCAATCTCTTCTCCTTCATCCTCCTCTCCAAATTTTGGGCACCCTGGCGTCCAATTTTTAAGCCGTCGGGTCTGGGACTTACTGCAGAGTTGGCCATGTGGGATACAGTGCCTCAGCGACCATGGCAACTGCTGGCCTGACCGCAACTTCTATTATCAGTTCATTTTTCATACTTTTATCTACTCACATGCCCAGTCAACTAAAAACCACTCTTTACTAAAGACTAATTACCTTCTTTGACCAAATTCTCATTATAAAGGCTATTAAGAATGGATGCATTAAGTGTCCCATTAGCCAGAAGAACACCAGTCAACATAGCCAGCTTGTTCCTCTCTGACTCCGAAAAACCTTTCAAGAACAGCAACAGCTATAAAAGTAAACAGTGAGGGTTAAAAAGAGCAATCGCAAAATATTAAGAAAAATAGTAAAGCACACTGTATTAGTTAAAGGTATGGGCTCTGGGTTCTAAACATCTAAGTGGATAAACTTGTTAAAATGGTCATTAACTGAGTATCTTGGGCAAGTAAGTTAACCTCTGTGCCTCAGTGCCCTCAAATGTAAAATGTGGATTAAAACAACACAGGATTTTTATGAATATTAAATTAGTAAATACATTAGGTTGCTGGAAAAGTCATCAAGTATTTTTCTATGCAAAAATGTGTCAAGACTTTTCCAACAACTCAATAATTAAAATAATTCCTGGCACTTGATAAATGTTACTATCAACATTACCACGTTTTCTATGCATCTATTTAAGAAATACCTAAGACTGGAACTCAAATACCAAGTATGCTAAATGTCTTATTCTTTAGCTCTGGTTACCTTCTGCTTACTGAACAAGCCTCTCCGTTGATTTTTAATTCTAATTTCAATGACAGTTTATCTAAATATCTAATTACCTCAAATCTGAGAGAGAAATTAGGATTTAACATTCCCTCTTCTGACCCCAACACCTTTGCATTTCCTAAAAGCGTATTACTCCCTCATACCTTTTTTACTTCATCTTCAAAACCTTTCTCCAGGTATTTGTAGCGCCTGATTAACTTGTTAAAAACCTATAAAGGATATTAAACAGATTTAGTAACTTCACATGTGCTCTTAACAGATCTCTAAAAGACCTAGGCTGGGGCCACTGAGATCTTTTCCCATAGCATTTCTTTTTTTTTTTTTTTGTGAGAGGTTTTTGCTATAGGGCGCATGCATTCGACAGAGAGAGAGAGAGAGAGACAGACAGAAAGTGAGAAATCGCCACGCCACAATCCGTTCTCCTCCATTCTCCTCTTGAGATCTTGGGCATGCACGCACACGCACCCTGCATGAGTTTTAAGCCACCGGGTCTGGGACTCAAACCGCCGTCGGCTACATGGGAGTTCAGTAACATAGCCATTACGCTAACTGCTGGTCCCTCTCATAGTATTTCTAAAACAGAAGTGAATCCTCACCATTGGACCAAACAAGCTTACAAGCTGTTTAAATCAGCTTGAGAAGAGTTTACCAACTCCTAAATCATGTAATATACCAACACTTTAATAATCACCTATTAAGGTATTTTAATTGCTGTATATTAAGGAAGGCCTAATTATTATCCAAGTACAAGTTATTTATGCATGTGTAAAACATGACCAGATTAAGATCGTAAAAAGCAGTTCAGGAGCTGGCATAATGACCATGTTGCTAGACTCCCATGTAGTCAACCGTGGCTTGAGTCCTGGACCCGGTGGCTTAAAACTCACACTGGGCACATATGCATGCGTGCCCAAGATCCTGAGAGGAGAATGAAGAAGGGACTGCAGCATAGCCATGCCCCCTGGGGGGGTTATTTCTTGCTCTCTGTCTCTATCTTTCTTGCGAGCATACACACCCTATAACAAAAACCTCTCAAAAAAAAGAGCAGTTCTGTGGTGAGTGGGTGGCATGAAGATTAAGACACTAGATCCCACATGGCTATCTTGGAGTTAAAAACTGGCAGTTTGAACGATCATGCTGTGTGCCCAAAATCTTGAGACAAGAGTGAAGAAGGAACTGTGGTGTGTGTGGTATGGCCATCCCCACTGGGTGGTGATTTCTCCTTCCCCACCCTCTCTCTGGCAGGCACATGCAACCTAGAGCAAAAATTAAAACAAACAAAACAGTTCTGTATTTCCTAATGACATAGATAAAAACTTCCAGATGCATATGAAAAACTTTTAGATGCATTTGAATTCTCTGTATAGAGCAATACAAACATGACTGCACATGAAACCTACAAATGGGATCTTGGTTAATAAATTAATCCACCTACAACTTGTCTGACTTTAAAACAGTTCTAGAGGGGCCAGCAGATAGTGTAATGGTTACATTTCTGGACTTCTTGTAGTCAACCGTGGAATCGAGTCCCAGGACCTGGGGTCTCAAAACTCACACCGGGCACGTGTGTGTGCATGCCCAAGATCCCAAGAAAATGGAGAAGGGACTGCGGCGTGGCAGTCCCCTCCGGGGGGATGATTTCTCTTTTTCCATCTCTCTGTTTTCTTCAGAGCACATACACCAGCAAAAATCTCTCTTTAAAAAAAAACCAAGCAAACAAACAGTTCTACAGAGTAATTCATCCATGGAAAATAACAATAAGAAACGAATTCTCCTTTGAAGCTTAATATTTTTCTTTTTTTTTTTTAAAAAAAACAATCATTTATTTATTTATGTATGTATTCATTCATTTGTTTTTGTTTTTTAATTTAACCTGAGAGATACACACAGAGGGAAAGTAAGAAAGCAGGCCACCAGGTCCAAGACTCGAATGGTGGCTGGGCACGTGGGAGTGACCAGTGCCTTAACCACGCTACCTACTGGTCTCCCAAAGCTTGACACTTTTCTTAATTATTAATATTACTCTTAAAATTTGTTCTCTTTAACACATCTGAAATTTCTATTTCATCATATTCTACCAAGAACAATAACCCAAAAATTCATTATCAAATTCCTACAGCTTAGGGCCAGTAGATGGGAGTGATGGTTAAGGCACATGTCTGAACATAGTTCAAGTCCTGGGCCTGGCAGCTTGAGAGCTTACGTTCTTACTTTCTCTCTCTCTTTCTCTCTCTCCCTGGTCAGCACATGATCCTAGTCACAAACTTAAAAAAAAAAAAAAAAAGAAGAAAAAGAAAAATGCTAATGATGCTAATGATAAATAAAATTAAATGATTCTTAAAAAAATATGTCCTTCAGCTTACTACCTGCAATTCTTTCTAAATTTGCTAAAGGGTGTGTGTGCTCACTGGTGAAAGACTGAGTGAGGGAAAAAGGGAAAGTGAAAACGCACCACCCCACAGGGAACAGTCACACCATGGGGCACAGGCGGCGTGGTGATTAAGGGTGCTGGACTCCCACATGGCTGACTACAGTTTGAGTCCCAGACCTGACTGCTAGCTTTCTCACTTTCCCTCTCTCTCTCTAGCTCTGTCCCTCTCTGGTCATGTTAAAAACTAATTAATAAATAAAATTAAATAAAATAATTATGTATTTTTTAAAATAGTCACATCATAGTCTCTTATTCATTTCTCCTCACACAGGATTTTGGGCACACATGCAACACACCTGGTATATTTCTCAAGCTGCCAGGTTTGGGACACGAACCACACAGCTAGCCATGTGAGGTGCAGCCACCTTAACCAGCATGCAACCAGCTGGCCCTTACCAGAAACCTTTTAAAAGCAGAGTACTTCTTGAACATTAGTAAAATGGGCAGTAGCTAACCTAAAATAATTAAATTAAGTCAAGTTTAACTGACCTGAGCAAATGCTTGCATGGTCTCTAGATCTTCTTGTGCTGCGAACACACAGACATCTGTACGCATCATGTCATCTGCCAGTGTACCACCTGGAGCTAAAGTACATTTTACAAAAAATTTGTAATGACATTCACTTTAAGTTAGCAATCATTTCAATTCTACTCTCCATAGGATTTCCAATGTAAAACAACATTTTAAAAGATGAATTGAAAGCAAAGTCAACTTATCAATAAAAACATGGCTAGTTTAGGTCAGTACGTATGAACAAAGTAAAACAATCTGTAGGTACAGCAACATATAAAACAATACTTTGGCATTCTAATAAAACTCATTGCAGTAATCATTTAATGCTGTCAAATCTAGGACCAGCAGTTGGGTGATGGCTATGTCGCTGGACTCCGGCGTAGTCAACTGTGGTTTGAGTCCCGGACCCCGTGGCTTAAACTCACGCTGGGTGCGTGTGCGCCCAAGATCCTGAGAAGCATGGAGGAGAAAGGATTACGGCATGGCCATCCCCCCTGGAGGGTGATTTATTGTTTTCTGTCTCTCTGGTGAGGGTACATGCCCTATAGCAACCCTCCCCCTCCCAAGTCTAATCTGTCAAGTAGAGATTTTCAGAGCTGGTTTTGATTACATGTGAACCCACAATAGAGACTGTATTTTTTTTTTTTTTTAAAAATAAAGGTAAATGGGGCCACCAGGCAGTGTGGTGATTAAGGGGCCAAATTCGACCATGGTTTGAATCCTAAACCTGGTGGCTTGCTTTCTTACTTTTTTCACTGTCTCTCTAGTTAAAATAATAATAATAATAACAATAAATAAATGTCTTAAAGAAATGGAGGATGATGAAATTAGAGAGGGTATAAATGAAGTTAAGATTGTATACTGATAACCGCAGCAGTTGGGTAACAAACACTCATTACATTATTCTTTTTGGGATATGTTTGGAAATTTCATGTACATAAAAAGGCTCAAAAAAAAGGCCTGTTAATAGCCATAATATAAAAAAAGATTCATATTTCTTACTACAAACTAGTAATAAATAAAAGAAATATTCATTAAAGTAGGTATTATTAGGTATTAAGTTCCTGATTGCAACACTGAGTAAATGTTTGACTACACAACACTTACCCAGCATTCCACCAGCCACCAGAATGTCAAAGAGTGTTTCTGCATATCGGCGATAATCAAGTTTTGCTCCAGAAGCATCAAGGAACTTAGCTACTGCTTCCAAATCAGTACCAGTTTCAGTTAAGCCTTGAATAATACAGTCTTGAAACTGAGTAGGGTCAAACCTCTCTTTTTCATCTGAGGGGGGAAAAGAACCAAAACATTTAGTTTAAAAAGGTTTACTAAAATGCATGAAATTGTCATTTTATGAAGCTCCACTACGAAATAAATTAATCAAATACATCCCAAGTAAACACAAGACTACCTAAAAGACCTAAGCAAATATGACAGGAGACTACTTACCAACCTTTGCAAATACAAGGCAGAACAACCTAGCCAGGAGAATTGTGTAGCTTTTCTCCTACTACTTTTTCAAACAAATCTCGTGAGTGAACTGTATGTGCTAATCTCTCATATTCCCACTGCCATGAGGCAATTTCCACCTGAAATTGTTCCCATTATTCGCAAGAGAAATAGCCAAAAGAAATTAGGTAATCAAGAGACTGTACTATGTAGGAGTTCAGAGTATAGGCTCTGGAGTTAAACTGGGTTCAAATCCTGATCACCATTTAACCACCTAAATCAGAGCAACAGCTGCATTACCCTACTACAGATGGTAATAAGAACAGAAGAACAGTTCCTATCTTTGGCCAGTCAGTGGCATGGTTAAAGCATAACCAACTGAGCAATCTGAGTTACTGAACTGGTAGTCTGAGAAACATACTAGATGTGGGCATGTATGTGCCCCAAATTCTGAGAGAATGGAGAAAGGACTGTGAAAGCACCCAGCCATCCCCTCAGAAGGTGCTTCCTTACTGTCTCATAGCTGAGTGCAGGGGGTGTGATGTTGGGATTCTGGACTCCCACATGGCAAACTATAGTTTGAGACCTAGACCTAGTGGCTTACTTACTTTCACTTTCTCTCTCTTGTGGGCACGTGCCCTATAGCAAATTTTTTAAAAAATTAATTAATTAAATAAAAAAAGGTGGCCAGCAAGTGGCACAGTGATTAAGGTGCTGGAGTCCCACATGGCTGACCATGGTTCGAGTCCCAGACCTGGTGGCTCGCTTTCCCTTTCTCTCTGTCTGTCTCTGTCTCTGGTGAGTACACATGTCCTACAGGAAATTGAAAGATAATAATAAAATTAATTTATTTAAAAGAGAAAAAAATAGTATCTATCTCATAAAGGTTTGTATTTTTTTAAGGTTTTCTTGCCATAGGGGCAGACGCTCATTGGAGAGAGACAGTGGTAAAGTGAGAAATCACTCCCTGGGGGGATGGCCATACCACAACCCCTTGTCCTCCATTCTCTTCCTGGGATCTTGGGTATGCATGCACATGTATCCAGTGTGATTTTCAAGCCACCAGGTGCAGGACGCAAACTAGGATCAACCATGTGGGAGTCCAGCAATATAGCCACTATGTCAACTACTGGCCCCATCAATGATCGTGATCTGGAACTGGAAAGTGAAATCTTTTCCTGTTGCTAACAATAATAACAAAGTTACTTGCTGTCATTATTTATAGAAAAGTAGCACCAGCAATCCACATACCTACAAGCTACAGACTTTCCCTCACTGCTGCCAAACTGTTCTAGATCCTAATTCTCCTTCCTTAAGAAAAATTTCCTAGCTAAATGAAATTGAATCACATGTTGGTCTCCCCAGCACTATGAGGGGATAAACTCTATGACTTATAGAGATTCATCACATTAACACCTTTCCTTTAATAATTTAACCTTCTGTTGACACTAACGTTTGCTTAATGAAACTGCTATCTAATGAAAATACCTTGCTTTTTTTTTTTTTGGATAGGGTGCGTGTACTCACCAGAAAAGACAGTGAGAAATCACCCCCAGGGGGGATAGCGACACAACAATCCCTTCTCCTCCATTCTCCTCTTGGGATCTTGGGCACACACGCACACGTGCCTGGCATGCATTTAAGCTACTGGGTCTGGCACTCGAACCATGGTTGACTCCATGGGAGTCCAGTGAACATAGCCATTACGTCATTTGCTGGTTTCCCTGGCTTATTTTTTTAATTTAACTTTACTTACTTACTTATTTATTTATTTAAATTCGACCAGAGATGGACAAAGCGGGAGGGGGTGGGTGAGAAAACAAGCCACCAGGTCTGGGACTCAAACCTCGGTCAGCCATGTGGGAGTCCAGTGCCTTTATCCACCATGCCATCTGCTTAACCCCACCTTGGTTATTTTTTTAAAAGGTACTTCATCTCCACACTAAAAAGAATGTTCACTAACTTACTTAGAGATACAGGACACTTAAAAACTTAAGGCTTGGGGGAACCAGCAGTTAGCGTAATGGCTATGTCGCTGGACTCCCACATAGTCGACCGCGGTTCGTGTACCGGACCCGGTAGCTTAAAACTCACGCCGGGCACGTGTGCGTGCGTGCCCAAGATCCCGAGAGGAGAATGGAGGAGAAGGGATTGCGGCATGACCATCCCCCCTGGGGGGTGATTTCTCGCTTTCTGTCTCTATGTCTCTCTCTGTCTGTCTGGCAAGCGCACGTGCCCTACAGTGAAAATCCCCCCCCCCAAAAAAAAGAAAACTTAAGGCTTGGGGGGAAGAGGGGTTGTCAATAGCGTGGTATTGAAAGCAGCTGGATCTTCCATGGGTGATTGCGCTACTTGAGTATAGAATCCAGTAGTTTGAAAAACACACCAGGTACATGTGCATGTATGCCCCAAATCCAAAAGGAAGGGGAAATGGAGGATAAGGGATTGCAGGGTATTACTTCCCAAGGGGGGAATGCTTTCTCATCCCAGCCCCACCTCCCAGAAGAGTACATACCCTCTGGCAAAAATTTAAAAAAACGAAACAACCAAAAAGCAAAAAAACTAAAGGACTACAAAAGCAGTAGAAATATTAAGAATAGGGACCAGCAGATGGAGTAATATTTACATTGCTGGACTCCCACAGCAGCTTAAAACTTATGTCAGGTGGGTATGAGGGCATGCCCAAAAATTCTAAGAGGAAACTAGAGAAGGGACTGCAATGTGGTCATCCCCGCTGAGGGGGTGATTTCTCACTTTCTGTCTCTATGTCTCTCTGGTGAGTGTGCACACACCCTGTAGCAAAAATCTCTCTAAAAATAAATAAATAGATGAATATTAAGAATATATCGGAAATACCAGTTAACTAGAAACCCAGGTTCCTTTTTGGTATTTATCTTTTGAAACTGCCTGTCAGGGACCAGTAGTTGGTGTAATGGCTGTGTCGCTGGACTCCCATGTAGTCAACCGTGGTTTGAGTTCCAGACCCGTTGGCTTAAACTCACGCCGGGCACGAGTGTGTGCATGCCCAAGATCCCGAGAGAACAAAGGAGAAGGGATTGCGGTGTGGCTATCTCCCTGGGGGGTTATTTCTCACTTTCTGTCTATCTCTCTTTCTGGTGATCACACGCACTCTATAGCAAAAACCTCTCAAAAATAGTAAAAGAGGGACCAGCAGTTAGCGTAATGGCTATGTCGCTGGACTCCCATGTAGTCGACCGTGGTTCGCGTCCTGGACCCAGTGGCTTAAAACTCATGCCGGGTGCATGTGCATGCATGCCCAAGATCCCGAGAGGAGAACGGAGGAGAAGGGATTGCAGCGTGGCCATCATCCCTGGGGGATGATTTATCACCTTCTGTCTCTCTCTGTCTGTCTGGTGAGTACACGCACCCTATAGCAAAAATTTCCCCCCCCAAAAAGAAAAAGAAAAAGAAATTGCCTGCCAGATGAACCAAGATACAAAAGATATTATTATGGGGATTTGAAGAGAAATTAAAATAAATATGTACCTCTTTTTCTGGTTTTAAAACGCTGGCCTGATAGCGTTGGCTTTTGCTGCTTTTGATTATTCATAAAAGACACCCTAGGAAAAGAAAAATAAGGCCTTAAAAATGCAGTGTTATAACATTCACTTTTAAAAACAAAGAATCAATCCTTAGTCCAGTCCTATATAAATCGAATGGAACACACTTTCAGTTTGGCAATATACCCAGTATAGTCTCAAAGAATAAATTTTGCTAGAATCAAATTTAACTTCAAACTTTGTATCTCTCTCTACAAAAAAAATCCTTTAAAGAAGTGGTGCCAATTACATCTTAAAATGACTTTCAGGTGCCACATGATTGGCGGCACGTCACCATCCTAAACATAATTGTTTAGTCTGTTTCCCATTGCTTTTCAAATTCACCTACATCTTCCTCTACTATTAAGTGCCCCCGGAAGAAAAGGGGAGATTACCACCATAGTGAGGATGCCCCCAAAACGTGTGTCAGTTCTGAGACACGGTCAAAGGTGATTCCCTTCTTCTGAGCAGTCTGATAACACCACCTCCCTACAAGTTGTCCCCGTGACCCCAGTGGCCACTTGCACCACTCCCGCGGGCAAAATCAACGGAGAGCAGGAGTTGCCTCCCCTGCCTCGCACCCTACAGTCCCATCCACCTCCCCGCCACGTGCCAGATCCGAAGAGC